GAACGTGGAACGTCTTCGGAATGGCCATTCGTAGGACTCGAGCATCGTCATTATCTCTTTAAACTCAGCTCGTACTTTTAGGTCTCATTATCACTAGTGAAGTCGAACTCTTCACCGAAATTGGGAAAATACCGGGTGTCGATCGGTGTAGAAGGCACGGGGCTGCAGGGCGTAGAAAATGGACAAGTTTCGTCACACTTTTGGTGAAATACTAGGCCAACCTTTTTAAAGACGTTTCACGTCGAAAAATAACTTCTCGAGTTCTTTCAGGGCGCCAAATCCATGTCGTCGACTGTATCTCCATGTTGTATATATTGGACGAAACACTTAGTGGCTGTACAAGAGTACAGAGCTTCCCGGGTCGGGTAATTCACGCCGAGATCCAGTTGTTCGAATCGGAGGTCCTGTTCGAGTCGGCGCCGACTTACGCGAAACCTGGCCCCAACTAAGCAGGTCTCTCTATCCGGCCATCAAGAGAAACTCAATCGCGGTGCTCGTGTCTTTCGCCGGAACCTCAGTCCAAGATGATCACGACTGTCATTCACGAACCGCCGGGCAGGCAGTGCCGCCAAGCGAGAATAAATCGTCAACTGCTCAAAAATATCTCATATTTCATCTCGAGACGTGAAATCTCTTGATTCAGTGACGCCTTTTCAAGACGGCCTCGTCATTACTCGCATTTTACTCCGGTGCGGGGACCAGGACCCTGGTTCGCCCGAGCCTCTCCGCAGCGGGGAGCGGCAGAATCAGATTGTCGACACAGAATGGATAGACTTGTGGTCCGAATCATAGAGCCACAGAAGTTTCCCGATGTATCCGGGCAACAGCGGGTCATTTGTGTAAGATCCGAGACGTCTCCTTACGCCGCCGACATCTTCGGCCAGAATCATATAGGCTCGCACGAAACCGCAGCACTAAGATGCGGGACTAAATAGAAAATCGAGGGAGCGAATCACGATGCAGAATCCATTCGGATCGCACTTTGGGTCCGAAACGTCCTCTCCCTCTTTCTCTTCGAGCCGAAGGGTTTGTGGCCCGGGCCAGTGACCACTCCAGCATTCACTCGAGAAGGAATTAGAACGACTCTCGGCCTTCCTCGCCGGCTAGTTCCGCCCAGGGAGGTCATGCCAGATGCGTATATTGTTTTCGGGCAGTTTGGGCTTTCCGCGGGGATGTGGCATCATCGGGTACACTGGGGTATATTCGGATGACATTCCCGAAATCTTCCTCGGCGAGGCGACCATGAAGGTGATATCGGAGGCTCCGGCTAATCACGACTCCCGCAAGAGCCTTCCCGCGTCGATTCATCCTGTCCTATCAGGCCAGATGATCGCGGGCTTTGGGAATCTTCAAAAGGGATTTCGATCGCACAGACAAATCGAAGACCGGGATTTTCTACCATACGCCAGTAGTGAGAGTTCCGGACGACATACTCAGTCCTCGATATAATGCGTGAGATCCGCTAGGTATTCGGGAGCATGAGATTCTCCAGATTAGACTGTGAGCTGCGTCGGAGAATTCGGTACCGCGAGTATACCAGGAAATCTTGGCTGTTCCCGTGACGGATAGAGCTCTAGAATCTAGAACGTGAGTTTCCATCGATCTCCCATCAGACCTCTCAATAACCGCTCAGATTAGCAGGAGCTCGAAATCGATGCAAGACGCCAAGAATCCCAGAAGGAGGCACACATATGTACATACCGTGATGAAAGGGGTTATTCTGATGGAAGGGGTCGGGACTCCAATGAACGGGCTTGCACCAATAGTCTGTGGAACTCGATAAGGGGATCGAATGGCGACCGGGCGTGCATTTTCATATTGGCATAAATGCGGCATGAACACACTGCGTATCCAGAGCTTCGCGCCGCGTCACGAATTCACCGACGATCGCCGCCGCCGACCTCTGGAGTCCGGAACCCGAGCACGGCGTCCGACGGCGTGTCGGAACGCCGGCGCGCCGTGCCCAATCCTCATGAAAAGTAACAGAAAACCACGGGGAAAAAATGGAAACTCGGTTCGAGGTACTGAGCTCGCACGAGAGTGCGGGGGCATAGCATTCGAATGAAACAGGAAGTTCCGGACCGAAGCTCCATCGAGTACTTCGTGGTCGTTGAGAGCCCAGACTGATCAATCAAACTTCGCATGCATCGGCAGATCGCACGCTGCACGTGTCAAATAGTATTTCATCAACAAATGAGGAGACGCGATCAGAGGACTTTTGAACGTGCGTTCCACCTATCCCGCCGCCCGTTTTCCAGCCCGCCGCCGCCTGTTTTCCAGCCTGCCGTCGCCGCCGCCGACGAAAATCCCATGGCGCACAGCTCTGTGTGTATCGCGAAATCACGAGAATGACTTGACAGGAAGCAAGTGAGGAGCGGCGAGAGTTTCACTCAATCGAAGTGGTGTGGCTATTCTTCAGGTCAGCAACGGTGAAAAAAAGACCGTACAGCTGAGTGAAAATAGATGGCTTGCTCAGATTTGATCGAGACGTTCCCTCGGGGATGAATCGGCGAAGGAAGTCTGATTATGAGCCGGACCTTATTCGATACATATTGCTCCGAACGATTGAGAGCAGTCCGTCTCGAAGCCCTCGCGGGGAAGTATTCTTGTATATCCTCATGAGTCATGACGCACGGTTTTTCCTCTTCAGTATAGGTCTAATGATCGCATCTCGCGGATTCAGTTTCCGTCCCGGGAAGGAGCGGATCCTTTGCGCTACGAGCATACGCTCATACAGCGACTGAGTTGATCCCGATCTCCTGGTGGAAATCACCGCCGAGCGAGTTTTCTTCGAAAGAGCTAGGTTGCGATTTCCATCCTTCTTTTTTTGTGGCAAGCCCCTAACTCTTCGCACGAAGTAGTCGTTTTTCCACGACCGTATGCCGGGTGGCAGAACCTCGGCAACGATCTTCCCGGGGGGGAAATCGGTCGCACGTTCGAGGGAGCACGGACTGACGTAAGTCTAAGTCTCATCCACAGGACGCCAGACCTCAACTGCATCGAATTCTTCTTCGGAAGCTCCGAAGCCGATGGCTTCAGAGACAGTGGCGTACCCAGGGGGGGGCCAAGGGGGCCATGGCCCCCCCAAAATTCTTTTTGCGTAATGCAGGAGTACAGGGTACCTCCATCCACTATCATTTTGGATCTCTGGC